CAGAATCAATATAGATATGTCTCAGTCAGAGTAAATTCAGATGGAACATAGTAAAAAAAGGTAAATTCTTACCCCCGCCTAAAAAAAAAAACATTACTTATAGTGAAAACTACCCTTGAATGATGGGATAGTAGACTAAAAGCTTTAGGATTCCAAAGTATAACATATAATAAGTACCCTGTATCAAGATTGAGGCAAAACAAGTTTGACCTTTTTAGAGAGGTTTAGCTAAAAGTAGTCCAGGCGGACTGACCTTTGGGCACATTTGGGCACATTTGGATACCATCAGTGCCATTTGACCTTTTTCAGGTACCATACTGTAAAAATAATTGTATTATCACTACAGGTAATCATTCCATCCAAAGTGTTTTTTAAAAAAAAAAAAAATTATTTTTAAATTACATTTTTTTTGTATGTAAATGGTGTGTGTTTGTCTGTGTGTGGACTTTGCCACAGTCCTTACATGTTTATCACCCGACTAACACTTCTAGGAAGGTTTACTTACACAATAACAATTAGGAAACATAGGATACATTTGTCTCCAACAGGAGCAGATTTATTTCAAAATGAACACAAAAAAACGACACTAAAACCGAAATAACACCACGAGCATTTTTTTTTGTAAATACTGGCAAAAAAGAAAAAATTTACACAACCTGAATGTGTTTAGTGTTTTTGAATTGAGGCACCAGGCACTTAGTGCAGTAGATAGGTCTTCACCGTTGTGTTGCCAGCATCAGAGCACCTCCTGAGCGCGGTGGCATCTTCCCCATAATACTTGGGAATGCATACGAGTGATGATGGGGGGGGGTGGTGGTGGTGCTGCTGCAGGGACTTCACCCCTCATGTCTGCAGCAAGCTGCTCCCTGAAGGACTTCTGGGTGTGTGGCTTCGTCCTGCCGGGGTCACCCCTCATCTTGTGCAGCTCCTTGTGGAGAAGAAAGCTGTTCACCACTGCAATGTCCAGAAAATGGTAAAAAAAAAGGTCTTGTACCATTTCATGGTTTTGTGGTGAACGCTGTAGTACCCAATCAAAGCATCGGACACATCCACGCAGCCCATGCTTCTGTTGTAGTCCACCACAGCGTCAGGAACGGTAACAACCTTAGTCTTCCACACACCAGCCCGTTTCACTTTCCTCCTGACAGTCTGTCCACTGAATCAGAAGATGCAGAGGGAGGCTGAGTTAGTACTGGTGCAGACGTCCGGCGGCATAGCTTGGATGTTGATGGCTCTGGGGCAACTGTATGCTGATCTGATGCACGTCGTAGCTCGGATGAGGCAGATGTTGATGGCTGTGATCCAGAAGCCATTTAATACTTGTCTTCATCACTGTGAAAACAAATGTGAAAAAAACTTTGATTACTTCACTGGATTATTCTTTCAAAAATGTAACTCAAATCAGAAATAATCTCTCCATTTAGCGTGTGGGAAATAACAGTATACATATATATATATACTGTTATTTCATACACGCTATAGTATATATATATATATATATATATATATATATATATATATATGTATACTGTTATTTCACACACGCTATAGTATATATATATATAGATATATATAGACTGATATACAATACAGCTTTATTTATAATCTGCTAATAGTCAATGTCTGTAGAACTACAAAACAGCATCCATTTGGCGTGTGTGGAATAACAGTATATATATATATATATATATATATATATATATATATATACTGGGTTGATATACAATACAGCTTTATTTATATACTGCCGTGTTATAGTCACGAAATACAATGAATCTATTTATACGTTCACCAACATGATGTTGCCATTGTTTTAGTTTCTCACGGAACGATAACGCTACAACAACAAAGCGGCGTCCATTTTGTATTTTGCGAGTGTGGAATTACTATAGATTACACCAAATACACAACTAATAGATACAAACAGAGAGAGTACATACCTTTCCTGAAGTTCCTAATCAGGGTTGCCTGCTGTTGTCTCTGTTCGCTGTGTTCTCTGTGCTGTGCTGTGCTGGCTGTGCGGGCTGCTTCTGCTACGTCTGTGCGTAAAGCAGCCGCTGCTGGCATTATTCATACTACGCAGGATCCTATCTCTGGAACCCATTGGTCGATTTGGGTGATTGACACCTTTTTTGAAACTTTGGAGCCAATAGAATCGAGGGGGGGTTAGTAAATCCCGCTTTACACTTACGTCAAGGAGAGAGAGGCTTGCGTAAACAGCACGTGAGAAAACCTAAACCCGGACTGCAAAACGTTATACCTACGATGCGGCCATGAATGTAATGATGGATTATCAGGAACAATTCTAAAGTGACTAAAAGACATTGGATTAACCTTGAGCAGCGTTTTTATTCCCTTAAACACGACTTTTGATCACAAAACAGCAACGGTAAGACATAATTATTGTTATGCTTTAGAACACTGTTGTTGTTTTCTTGCTCTGTTCTGGCTGCTCGCTCAGTGAGTTTGTGTCCTACAGTGATGATACTTATATCAAAAATAATCTGTGGAGTATCAGCTTTCAGCTGATATGTAGTTTGTGCAGAACATATTAAGTTTTAAAGATCGTTTTTGCTAATTAGCACCGGAAGTAGCATCAGCCTGTTTTCACTAAGGGCTAATGCTAACGCTTCTTGTGAGACTTGTGTTTTGTTTCGGTAAAAATGGCTCATATCATTAGGTTGCTGAGTTTTTTCCCGTTATTTGAGTATAAGACATTCATAGGTTTTTAAATATTAAGAAGCCCCCAGACGCTGTCTCCTGCAGTGACGTGTTTTTCCCAACACACTCTCACTCCCTAAGCGTCCAATAACGACGTTTGGTCAGTGTCCGTGGCGTCCAGTTGTGACGCTCCTAGGCTCCTTCAGCTTCATAAAGGGACGCAAATAGCTTTCAACTGATTGCAATGTATTCCCATCTGCGGCGGTATTTGACGCTCATGGAAGCACGGCATTCGTTTGTGTCGGCTGCCCTTAAAGGCAATGTGAGCGTCCATTCCCATTGGATAACGGAGAATTGTACACCCGGAAGTAAGTATTCCCCTTACTGTCGATTGATTTTACAGTGATATCTGCACTACTCATCGACTAAAAAACACCAGATTATCCTTGTTAATTACACAACATTGATTGGTTTAAATTGTGTGCAATGCTTTTGTATTTTTCCCCTTCGATTCGGAGAAACAAATATTTTTTCGGAGTAAAGGATGGCAGAAGACACTACACTACCCAGAATCCCCAGCTATCGTTTGGACTACACCATGTGCTCTGTTTGACAAACCCGTTTTTTTTTCACCATTCATTCCAATGGCTGGCGTCTATGTCACGTTATCTTCAAATTTCTCCCTGCAGAAAAATAAAACATGGCCGAACTTCGTTTTATTCTCGGTGGAAAATGCCTATTTTAAAGTTAGTTTGGCCATTAAAATGCGTTTTGATGTCATTTGATGCGAGAAATATGAGTTGTTATTACAGATTATGTGTGCAGTGGATGTACATGATCTTTAGTTTGCTAATTATTACGAAGATTACTTCAGGAAATCGCGACGTTTTCATTGTTACCAAGGTGGTTGCTAGGGACGCTGCTATCGATATTATTTCTGTTATGTTGTGTAACTGTTTAATGGTGTTATCTTTATTGCTACCCCCTTCCCCGTCAATGTATAGTGTTGATCCACAGCGCAAACATATTAGTTTAACAAAATCCGCATCTAAAGATACGTTATTTTCCCCTGTGCAATTCCAGTCTCACATCTCACAGCACATCGTCATTAACAAATACCGGAAACAGACCGAAAACATTTAAAAAAAAATAAATAATACTTTATTCCGAGTGTGCTTGATTTTCTCTTTGAAAATCATCACATAACGGCATTGTAATACATGGTTCGGCTGCATTAAATATTACATATCTGCCGTAGTTCTCTATTTATAGAGCCCTGATGAGAAGACTTCTAGACAAACATGAGGAACTGAAAACGTGACGTGGGTCATAAATATATCAGCAATTAAACAACATCTTACATTTCTTTTCACACAATACGTCTCCTTGCAGTATCAACACTAATTCGGCTGACTTTTATATTTGATCCAATTGGTAGATAGGCTGTATTTACACCATAAAGGTGCACAGCTGATATAAAGGGACACCTAGTGGTTAAAGCATGTTATTGAATTTCATTATTTTTATTATTAGATATTAATAGGATCCCTATAAAGTATATTTATTACTCGTTATTCTCTACTAATAGTTCACTAAAGACTGTATATAATTACTATTTTGCACATCCCTTTCAAGATTTCAAGATTTTCTAAGGTTTATTGACATATCATATAGGCCTACACAACTATGGTGTAGTTCTGCATTGAATGAAAAACTTGGGTCGCAGGTTCCTCAATAGTGCATTACAAGACATCTATCAATATTTGTGCATACCTCCAGCAATGTTAACTATGTTGAAGCACTTATTTTAACTGATATTATACATCATGTATTATACTCTTATAAGATGTATGTAGATATTTCATCTCCGGCCTTGTCAGGTATTGAACAATCAATACATAAAGAACACAGAATTGTTAAATATAAAACACAGAATTTGTGTGATTATACTAAATGATTTACAAATAAACACCACTGCATAATGTACAACTGTAACACATGCTGATGTAACGCAAATGTTTCCAACCTGGGATCAATAAATTATATCTTATCTTAAGCTGATCGATGGCTACTGCCATATTTGCAAAATTTGCCTCTGAACCTTGACAAGTGCATGTTTCAGGCTTATCAATTAATGTAATGTAATGTTATCTATTAACAACAGGAGGGGTCAAAAACATAAGACCAGCTGTTAAATAAAGCTCTTCTGACCTTAGCTGGCATGTGTGTATATATATATTAATGCTGCCCATTATGGGCACAAGCAATTTTCACCCATTTATTAATTATATGTTTTACATTTGAGTGTTTCCTATCCCCTAAACCTCCACACTCAAAAAAACGATTCAAGCCCTTCTTAGACTTGACACATTAATAATTGTTTCACTTTACTTAAATATTTTTATTTAAGAAATAAACCTAAGTATAGTTCATTAGTGTAACACAAATTACATTAATCAATTCACTTATTAAATGTATTTAAGACAGAGCAACTCAAAATGAATTGTTTTCATTTGGGACCGCCCCTTTGCACATCACCTTTGCGCATGCACAAAATCCGTTCTGTCATTTGCCGCCTTTTGTCTAACACTGACTGGAAACTGACTGGGGAAACTGACGGTGGAAAGTCTATTATTTGGTAAGTATTTGTTTTTTCTAGTAGTTTAGAATGTTCCCTGTTTCCAAGTAGGCCTAATGCCTTTTCATTATATCGACAAGAATATTTGAAACCACCGTGTTATATTTTGCTCCGTTTTTAGTTGGGTCTAAACAGCAAGCTAGCTAGCTTGCTAGATATGGTTAGCATTGAATACTGGATAGTAGAGATCATTAGATTATATTAAATTAGATGTCACGTTATTGTCATTGAACACAGTACACCGAAATTCAGTTTAAATTCAACCAAAAAATGCAAAGAGTAATTAAAGTGCACGAGGTAAAGCAGCAAGCTAGCTAGCTGGATAACTGGTTTGTTAGCTAGCTTGCTAGATACGGTTAGCATTGAATACTGGATAATGGAGATCATTAGATTATATTACATTCGATTTAACGTTATTGTCATTGAACACAGTACACCGAAATTCAGTTTAAATTCAACCAAAAAATGCAAAGAGTAATTCAAGTGCACGAGGTAAAGCAGCAAGCTAGCTAGCTGGATAACTGGTTTGTTAGCTAGCTTGCTAGATACGGTTAGCATTGAATACTGGATAATGGAGATCATTAGATTATATTACATTCGATTTAACGTTATTGTCATTGAACACAGTACACCGAAATTCAGTTTAAATTCAACCAAAAAATGCAAAGAGTAATTCAAGTGCACGAGGTAAAGCAGCAAGCTAGCTAGCTGGATAACTGGTTTGTTAGCTAGCTTGCTAGATACGGTTAGCATTGAATACTGGATAATGGAGATCATTAGATTATATTACATTCGATTTAACGTTATTGTCATTGAACACATTGCCTGTTGATGTCCTTAATGAGGGAGTCGTGTCTACACTGAAACAAAGTTTCCCAGATGTGACTGAGGTTCATATGGCAAACAATGTGTCTAGCTTGGGTATACGTTACTGCGAGGGGATGATTATTGTACACGGATCTGCAGATGGACTGCCTAAATTCCATGAGATCATTAAACTTTGCATTGTTAAGGAGAAGTTGTGTTTTCTGGTAAAAGACGCATGTGCTTGGTACAGAGAGCATTATGGTGCTTTTGAGCTGTCTGCCTCGCCCAATACAGAGGTTGCCGTTATTGAGCTTGCTGACTTGGTAGACCCCTATCCCCTTGTTGACTACATGGTTGGGAGTTTGCGCATGGTAATGTTGAAAAGATTCATCATTGTTAAAGGTGAGTATCATTTTTAAACCTAAATAGTCTGAGCTCTGGATAGCAGGCTCTGACAAAAACTGTAAAACCATTTTTATGTTCATCTTTGATATAATCCTAATGTGTTTCTTTCACCTTGTTTCTGCTCTAGATTAAAAGGTGTTCCATAATGGCAGGTCGGGCGCTTCTGCGCATCATCTTTGCCGACCAGTCTGACTCTAGAAAACTGACCCTGGATTCGGGAATCCCAGCAACAGTTGAAGAACTGCACACATTTGTCAAGACATCTCTTCAATTGAAAGAGGACTTCCGTCTGCAATACATGGATGTTGACTTTAACGAGTTCATGAATCTTACATCAGTGTCTGAAATTCAGGATAAAAGCACACTGAAAGTAATTTACTCTCCTATATTGTCAAATATTGAGCCCTCCATCACTTTGTACACAGTTGACTCATTTGATAAGACCTCAATTACTGGAAGCTCAGAGCCTCTAATCCCTGAATCATCAATAGCCTCATGCTGCAGTGATGATATGGTGTATACGTCAACCCCGCATCCATCCCCTGAAGCTCAGGCCTCACAATTGTTATCCTGGCCCACAGTTTTTGTGGTTCCTAAGCTCACCTACGAGGCTGAATTTGAGCTTCATCTAAAGAATGCAGAGTTTGAGACAACTGGTACATACTTCCAGCCTGGCCTAAAGCTGAAAGGAGTCATTCTTGATGGCCTAGCCCAAGAAATGATCAAATTCACAAAATATCCGAAAGACTATCAGTGTGAAGAGGTAGCTGCAGCGTTGACGAGGGCCCACCCTTGTTTGGGGCAGCTAGGATCCAAGACAGGATTTGGGGGGTGGAAACAGTCTCTTAAGTACAAAATGCAAAACTATCGTACAAAGCTTGGCCGTCTTGGACATCCTGAAATCCTTGTGAACTCCTTAAAGCACAAGAAAACAGGCCAAGGCAAAGCTGCAGCAAACATAAAAAAACCAAGAAAAGCTGAAGTAAACTACATTCCTCTGCACCCAAAAGGCGAAACCACAGAAAGCTTGGAGAACGAGAGAATTGCCTTATTGTCAGAACTGAAAAAGCGTGACAATGAAGTGGTGATAAAAGCAAAAATGGAAAAAACCTTCTCCCACAGACGCCTTGAGATTGTGGAGCAAAGGCCTTTGATAGGGGACTTCAAATGCAGATGGCCTGCTCTGTTTCAGCAGAGTGAAGTAAGTAAATATTTGTATTTGTTGACAGTCTTTTATTATTGTCTTTTGTGATTCATGTCTACATCCTTGCATGGTTGTGATTCTAATAAACAAGTAACAATTGGTTGTATTGTGCTTGTTAATAATATTTTTAAGGTGAATGCGGAGTTTTTGAGGATCACAACATCACCACTTCAATCAAAGTTCATGTGGCAGCTGGACCACTTCTCAGACAAGCTCTTGAAGATCTTCAAGACCAAAGGAGGAGTGAAGGGGCACAAAATCAAGGAAGCCCTTGCAATATCAGATTCGGTTAGTATAAATGCAGAGAACCTCGTTTTTCACTGTATTGTTTTTGTCCATGATCATATGAACACATTTAAGAAATTGTCTGCTTTTATAGTGTTTTTAAGGCAATAGCTTATTGTGGAAATGTAGGTGTAAGGAGTCCTGCTTAGGGACACACACGACAGATACAGCCCTCTACGTTGTAAACTACCTGCTCTGTTGCACATGCATTGTGCTTAATTGTCTTTGATTTATCGCCCCTGCTTTAGTTTGAAAACATCCACATCCTGCGAAGCATCGCGATCTACCTCAACGAGGATCCAGACTCTTTTTTTAAGGAGTATCAGGTATGTTTATCACAATATGTTTTCAATGTATTGGTTAACAGTGTTACCCACAATTATAACCACCATTACTTACATTTATAATAAGAAAATTATATGGCACACAACCCTATCCCTGCTTACATCTAAATATCTTATCACATATCATAAATACATGCAGAAATAAATAAATCTATACATTAATATAGGAATGAATATATGTAAGAATGAATAAATACAGAAATAAAAAAATAATAATAAATAGATACAGAAGTAATTTCATCGGGCAAGTGTTAAAATAAATATAGAAAAAAGTGAATTAATACATTTATACAGATATAAATACATCTATAAATTAACATAGGAATACAATTGATAAATACAAATGTGAATTAAAACATGAATATATCTGGAAATAAATACAAATAATAAATGAATGCTGAAATAAATATTTACATTTATATATAAATACATCTATAAATGAATAAATAAATATGGACATGAATACATATGTAAGAACTTATAAATAATTGAATAAATACATAAATAAAATAATAAATAAATGCTGAAATATATTAATCAATAGATTCATGTTTAAAAAGGTATGTGAATGCAGCAATTACTAAATTGTTAAAGGAATAATTACATAATCACATAAATCAAGGAAATAAATTATTAAAGAATAAATAATCAAATACATATCGAAATAAGTAGGTAAATGCATAATTAACTACAGGAATAACAACAAATTACATTATTAAGTAGGGACGTAAACAAATAATACCTGAATTAATAAATAAGATAACGTTGATAATCAAACAGAACATACAGGAATATATCTTTATAACTTATTTATGCAAACATTTTCTTACAAGCTTAATTTAGTTCTGTGTTGGAGGTCCTAACCTTCTCTGGTATCACTCGGACATTTTTGTCCAAATTGGTAATTTTTCACATCAGATTTGGCTATAATGATTTTGTGTTTTTTCTAGATACTTTTTGGAATTTCAATTTTTCTAATCGGTCTCGAATACACTGTACAAATTACCCTAATTGTCCATTTAAAAAATGTTCCCACACTTCCCAAAAAGTGTGGGGGAAAAATATTTAAATATAATATTTGTATCATATCATTTTATCATTCAAGTTTTTGAAAGTGGACATTTTTATCCTGAGTGGCCAAATAGGGTAGTACATTTGAGTGATACCAGAGGGTTAGTCTAAAACTGTTTTGATCAATTAGGAGAGCCACATAAGTAAATCTGCTTCTATAAAATGTAGTAATTCAGGTTTTAGTTAACACATATGTTGTATGTTTGTGTCTTTGTTCAGGCCTCTGCCTCTGAAGATGCCAAGAGGGACATGGCAAACACAGTCATGGGCATATACACACTTCAAAGAGATGTGGATGGGCAGCCAGAGGACGTGGGAATTGTCATCGAAGGCAATATAGTCATGGACAACTTGGGCAGCGTGATTGTGGGGTTTGTCATGCTATTGGGACTTATTTATGCCCTGGATTTGAGCTTTCCGGACAACCTCAAACACACCTTCGAGTTCATGCAGAAGGTAGTGATGAATCTGGATGGGCACAAGCTGAATGGTAAAATCGAAAGTCTGAAGATCAAGTTGTTCGATTGAAATGTGAAAAAGAAGTGACTCATGTTCATTGTTGTCATTTTATTCACGAGTTTCCTAGTCAGAGCAGATTGAGCCGTTATATCAATCATTTGTTCTGTGCTTTTCTGTATTTGTTTCAACACACTGTAACACTATTTCCATATGTTGGTGTTTGCAGTGCACTCTTCATGTTATGTGTTATTGTCCTGTTAGAAGAGCAGTGCATACCCCTGTTATATTGTATTCATTGTATTTGGCAAAGGGAGATTTGTAAGTTAATTATAGGAGTTCCATTTCTCTGCCATTTTAAAAATGGTATTATCTTTCAGAAATGTTTTTCATCTTTCAGTGTGAATTCATTCATTTTAAAAAGACTGTATTGAATGGAGGATTGTTTTGAATAATGTGAATTTAAAAATAAAAAAAACTAAACCATGTTTTCTATCATGTGTAACACATTTTTATTAAATTATATTTAACCTCATTATTTCATTTTCAATTAATTAAATAGGATTTAGGTGGACTAGCATTATTTAAATTCATAAAGGTAATGTTATCATTTTACTTAAACTCTATTTGAAAAATTTGAGTTGGACTAACTCATTTACATTATACTGCATGGATGCCATTAGTTTGAGTTTGTGCCACATATATTTATTGGATGGAAAACCTGCCAACAATAAAATTGAGTTAATCCAATGAGTTATTTCTTTGAGTGCAGGGATGTACACAGTTTAATACTGGCAACTTCTTATTATGGGAAATACGAAAACGTCTTTTAAAACTACAACTCCCAGTAGAGACGTGCCATAGATAGAGAACATGTTGCGAAACAGAATAGCCAGCATTTGTAGTTCTGGGGACGGGGTGGGGGAGGGGGGGACGCGGTAGACCCGTTCAAATCCAGTTTTGGACAGTCTGCCGTGGTTCCATCGCATTTCAAGTGCTGTTCGAGAATCGGCGTAACCCTCGGAGCGCACTCTCCAATCACAGAGCTTGAGGACTATCACGGGGTTTGTCAAACAGAGCACATGGTGTAGTCCAAACGATAGCTGGGGATTCTGGGTAGTGTAGTGTTTTCTGCCATCCTTTACTAAGAAAAAATATTTGTTTCTCCGAATCGAAGGGGAAAAATACAAAAGCATTGCACACAATTTAAACCAATCAATGTTGTGTAATTAACAAGGATAATCTGGTGTTTTTTAGTCGATGAGTAGTGCAGATATCACTGTAAAATCAATCGACAGTAAGGGGAATACTTACTTCTGGGTGTACAATTCTCCGTTATCCAATGGGAATGGACGCTCACATTGCCTTTAAGGGCAGGAGACACAAACGAATGCCGTGCTTCCCTGAGCGTCAAATACCGCCGCAGATGGGAATACATTGCAATCAGTTGAACGCTATTTGCGTCCCTTTATGACGCTGAAGGAGCCTAGGAGCGTGACAACTGGACGCCACGGACACTGACCAAACGTCGTTATTGGACGCTTAGGGAGTGAGAGTGTGTTGGTTTTTCCGCCCGGTATCGGGGGGGCCGGGTTTAAGAGGTTAATCCCTATGCCCTTACCCTATTCTCTACCATCATCTTGAATATACTTTAAGATGGCATAAAGTTAATCTTTAAGTAAGTTTCCAAAATATTTTGTAGCTGGAGGAATAACTTTCCCCCCCATTTGAGAGAGTCATAACATTTTTTATGGATCTTTTTTTCTTCTCAGCCCTTAAAGAAATTGACTACACTGAAAAAAAGAACACATTGGATTTACTCAATTCAATTGTGGACATTGGTTGCACACCAATAGTTTGCTTTGGTAGCAGCCTATAGAATTGTTTTAAATCAACACAAACGATGTATGTCCAATCAACGCAAGTACTTTGTGTTGATTCAAAGTTATTGAAATGTGTTTCAATAAAGTAAATTAAACACTTTCATGATTTTACTCCAACCCAATTTGATCACTTTATTCAAACACAATTCAATCCCTTTTATTCTAACTCAATTTGATCCCTTTATTCAAACACAATTCAATCCCTTTTATTCTAACACTATTTGTTATTTTAATATTCCCATGTGAATTACATGTTTTCAGAATTGTAATTTTTTTTATATAAAAATATACATTATATTCAGAAATATAATTTAATGTAAATATGAAACAGATTTTTAAATAAAAGTACAATAAACTATTACATGTCAGCAATACATGTGTTCTTGTTGTCTAATACTGTTCAATTAACTTTTTCTTGATCACTCTAAACATAACCCACTTTTTTTCCATTGAAAACGATTAGTTTAGTTTCAAATCCTTTATTCCAGAACCTGGAGATTAAAGAATCACTCAAGTCTTTCTAAAACATCCAATCTCCAATTTGAGAAGTACAAATATTAAAAAGGACCTTACATATTGTTTAGCAATTTCGTTACAATAGGTAAACAAAACTAAAACAAATATATATAAAAAGCATCCCCTGCACAAGGCATCAATAACCGGAATGGTGGTAGGAGAACCAGCCACACCACTCAGTCCAGGAATGCATAATTTAACATTTTTTTATTAATGAATGACCACTTGTGTTTTTTTAATTTTAAATTTGTTTTCAATAAAGTGCCATGTAAAATACAAAATAAAAGGTGTGGTGAACTTCACATTTTGCCCGCTTCGAGGCACCATAACCCTGGGTCTGTCTCTTAGTATATGTGCTGGCGAACATCCCTTAACGTTGTAGCTCTAAACCTGCATCTAAGTCAACTACAGGAACAGTGTAGGAACAGTGAGCCGTGAACATGGACAGTGAGCTCTCTTCACTCGTGCATTTTCCTTTTCAAGTTTTGGGCCTTTCTTGAAAGGTCAGATGCATCCAACTCCATTATAACCTTTTGAAGAACTTCTAAGGTGTAGCGGAGCTTCAACGGGTAATTCATGTTTAGGGCATACATGAGTCCAAACAGCATTGCAGCTGCAAGAGCCACACTCTCCAGATCGTGAAGCACCACCACACCCTCGAGGATTACTCCCACATCAGAATAGTCATTGCTGGGAGTCTCTCTGGCAACATAGATCCCCACTGTTGTTCCTTCTACCTCACGTAGTGTGTTGGCCTCAGTCATGTCCTGGTGGAAGACAAATCATTTCTTTAAGGATAAGATTTATTTTATTCTATTCAGACCTCATTAAGACACAATTTGCTAATTTGACAATACTGGTACACTCCACTGTAGCACTCCACAAATTAGCACAATGCATCCAGAAAGTTGCTTGCTTGCGAAGAAGACCTGGTTTGTTTTCACCTGTGGGTTTCACCAGCCTGGCTAACAGATTGTAGATTAAATTGAGTGAATAAACACAGGTGAATGGTAATTATTATTGGTAAATATATATATATATATATCAATAATGTAAAAAAAATCACTGGACATAAATACACACCGTTTCCACAACCCATGTTAATATATTAGTAGTAGACCAAATATGTAGATTGATGCCACTATATGTACAGATGTCACTTTAACTAATTTCGTACTTCATAATTTATATGACCGAATATGTATATATGCTGACCGTTATTTTACTCTTTACTCATCTCCTATTTCATAATCTTTTATTATTATCTTTTATTTTTCTTGATTTTATTTTTTATTTTATTAATTTGTGTGAATCTGTGCTGTCCTGTTATTCACGCTTACCCTGTTGCTGCTTGTACAACTGAATTTTACCACAGGGATTAATAAAGGTCCATCTTATCTTAAATCACAGACTTTTCAAAAGAGGAGAAGGTTAGAGAGAATAAACAGGTGAAATGCAATGACACCAAATTCTGGAGACTAATGAGCAAAGCATTAGGTCCTACTCCTGATTCATAATACACCCCATGTAATATAAACCCCACAGGTGGAGGATACTGCAGCCTGAGGAAGATAGAGCTGTCCTTAAGACTATTGCATTGTCTCTGCAATCAGAAAAACACAAATCACAATTTTCAGTCTTGATAGACCATGTTAATTCTAACAAAACCAATTATAAGTCAATATCAATTTCAGGAAAACAGCTATGTAAAAGGTCTGGTAATATGGTCTGGTATATCTGGTCAAATGAGGTTCTTTTAACTGAGGCTATTTTTTTCTTAAAAACATGTTCAAACGAACATTTTTTTTAATGTGGCCTACTACTTTAGCACACACTCACCATGTACTCCTTCACCAGATCCTCAGGATCCTCGTTGAGGTAGATGCAGAGTCCTTTAATGAGGCACTCCCTGCCAGCATCGATGTCTTCCTTAAGGATTAAAACAAAGAATATAGGGACATTGTAACTCAAATTGAACCTATGGAGTAGTCACATTTTGGGATAATCTACCATTGTAATTGATTTTAGACTGACCTAAAGCCGAAAAGGAAACACACACACACACACACACACACACACACACACACACACACACACACACACACACACACACACACACACACACACACACACACACACACACACACACAGAGTTCTTACTGTCATCATGGCAGCCATGTCTTTTAACTTCTTGCCCTGCTGCCCCGATTGTTTCGAGAACACCCTCAGCAGACTTGCGGAGTGTAGGTCAAGCTGTGACAGGAACCTTGACTGTAGAGGCATAGTTGTAATCCGCTTGAACTCTGCGTTAACCTGAAACAAAATGAAACAATTTTTTAACAACACGGCCCACTGACATGCACACATTTGTTTCATTAAACTTACACCAGCCAATCACATAACTGTATGCACTATGCATGTTTGCTCAGCATTTGATTTCTGCTATGGAATATTGGGTGTGAATGCTCTACCGAGATCTAATCCAGCTCGACGCGATCTTGCAAAAGATATATTTTCGACAAACTTTTTTTTTGGCGGCGGCGGCTTTGATGTAGTGCTAACTTATACAATCATATTCACCACAGTAGATACGAGATGTGGAAAATCGCCAATAATATGTTTGTGAATGTGTGACGAATCTGGTGACAGAGGCAGACCACAACTGCTGCGTTCGGTAAACACAACATATGGAAACCAGTTAGTCTGAAAACCAGTAGGGACATAACACCAGCAGTATGGGCTGTGTGTTTCTGTTGTCAAGGAGGTATAATAAGAACTTGTGCTACACAAATCTTGCAGTCATTTTAATTTGTGACATCACGGTATTTTTCTTTTAACTCTAGGCCCAAATTCCTCCCTAAATTAATTTTCCTCCTCCTCGATCCTATTTTTTTCGGCCCCCGGGACGATGGACATCCTTAAGCTCAAGCCCTACTCATCTGCTTCAATCATGTTCCCACTTTTCCAAATATTCCTACTACTTCACCTTCTTCTTACACATTTGAGCCAGCATAGCATCCTAATGGGGCCAAGCATTACTCTAACAGTTGCATATACCATCTACAGCACAAAAAGTTACACCATTATTTTTTTACTCACCTCCATTACATCAAAGAGAGCTGGCCATCTCTCTTGTACATCACTGGTCATGGGAACATCACTAATGACTTCTTGTCTTCTCAATGCAAATGTTCTCTCCATTTTAGCCCTAACTATCTCTCTGTTATTACGCTTCTTGCAATCTGAAAGGAGTTCAACCCTCATCTTCTCCAAGGACTGGGCGCATTCTCCAAGTGGAAAGTCAGGGCAGTAGGCCACTTCACCCCTCTTTGGTTTCTTGACTTTAAAGGCAGGATAACGTTTGCCTTCAGGTTTATATTTCAAAGTATTTACACATACTTCAGGACATCCCACTTTCCGGAGATGTGTACGGTAGTTGGACAACTTGTATTTGAGACTAGTCTTCCATCCCCCATAGCCAGAGGCTGAGCCTTTTTCTTGTAAACATGGATGCCTCATGACGAGCACCTCTGCAACTTGGTCAAACTCCCTGTCTGTGGCGTAGACTTTGTGCTTAACCATCTCCTGAATCAACCCCTCTAGTATATCAGACTTGAGCTTTGAATCAGGGATCAACAGTGTCCCTTCTTCTCTGAGAACTCCGTGGGCCTTCTCAAGCATAATCTCTGCATCATAAGAAAAACGGGGAACATGGAAGAAATCTGGCCATGAAGACCGCGAAGAAGTGGACTCTGGAGATGTGAGAATCACGGTGCTGTCGCCTAGAGAAGATGTGGTTTCATCAGGATGACTGGTTGGTGGAAAGGAGCAACTGTCCACACATCGATCTGCACCAGCATTGAGAGGTCTGCAGGATGTGTATATGACCTTGACTGTAGCTTTGTCTTGTATTTCTCCCATGGAAGTTAAGTTCATAAATTCATTGCCAAAAAGCGTGTCCATGAACTGCAGCCGAAAGGGTTCCTTTACATTACACTGAGTCTTTATCTCGTTCTCCAGTTCTTTCACAGTTGAAGGCAGGCCAGCATAAATCACCACCCTCTGACAGCTGTCTGCTCCTAGGATTACTCTGAGAACAGCTGATGTCATCATGGTCTTTCTTCACCGTCTGTTAGGAAAGAGAGTAAATAAACAATAAAAGGTTTAGAATTAGTTTATTTCAAGTACATGGGGCTTGGTAGGAGAAGAGTGAACGCTTGTAATTTTTTTTAAAGGGTTCATTGTGAAAAACATCTGGAATTGTATTGGACCAATGTATAGGGTTGGGTACTGTTCACATTTGTACCGATACCAGTACCCAACGGTACCTATTTTCGGTACTTTAGTCTGTAATAAAAACAAATGTAATTCTAGTAAAAATAAAGATACTGCATTTTCCACAATTAACATTACATTCCTGACATTTGTAATATTTATTTTAGTTATTTATGTTTTTCTTATATGCCAGTATTTGAGTGCCTTAACTTTAACAGGAAGAATGTTTACATTATTCAAAATAATATATATATATATATGTTCTGGATTTTTAGAAATATCCCTGATGTACCGAAAACAAACTGAACCACAACCCCAAAAACGAGGGACATACCGAACCATGAATTTGGTGTACCGTTAAGCCCCTAGTATGTACATACTAGCAGTGTTTCATTTGTTACTTTACCTCAGACACAGATTGACCTCTTCAAAGTCACCATCCGCACACATCCAACCAGATAGGCGGCCAAGGGATACTCATCGACCAGTTCACAGACTTCCACAAGAGCAAGTTCTCGTGACGGAGATGGAGTCACCTCAAAGGCTCTGTAGTGCTCACTATACCATCCACACAGCAGTTTCAAGACTAAAAATACTCTCTGATGCAAATGCATATTTGATGGATTTCCCCAAATTCGGGCAAGCCACCTTCAGACCCATGGACAACTACCATACCTGTCCTGTAGTTTATTCCCTTGCTCCAAACATTTTTTGCAAGGTGTATTTCAGATATGTCAGGATCTTTCTGTTTAAAAGCTTGAACTAGCTCCTCCTTCAAAACATCTAACGGGACAGTAGATACATCTGAGACATCCAGCATTTGATTATCAATACTTGGAGACGACAAGTGGTACCCAATCATAAACTGATGTTTCACAGCCAGAGATAGGGGCACATTTTTAAAGCAACTGGTGTGTTTGATTATCTTTTTAAAGAAACTGTGCTTTGCCTCAAACCTCATAGTCCAAAGTCCCACAAGAGGCCCAAAAAACCTTATTAGTTGTGGGTAATGTTCTATGTAGTGGTGTTTGGGCCGCAGTCTATTGTTAGGAAAAACCTCTCGATACCTTTGTCTATGGTCTGAAATTTTGCTCTCAAGGTATGCAATAGACTCATCGTTGTGAACTGGGGCAACCACAAGCTCAACAATCTGTTTTAGGTCCAACAAGACCTGCCATGCTGGATCATGCTCAGGAATCTTAGGCCCAATTAGAAATGGGAGCAATCTTAACAAGCACCAGTTTTCATGGGCATTACCACCTATGGTTTTCCTGTGTGAGAGATTTTGTGGCAAAATGTGAGGCTTATTTGTTTTGTCTGTCCACTTGTATGGGAAATGTAGAATGGAATTGTTAATATCTTCCAAGGTTATATACTTCTTTGATATTAGAAATGTGAGACAATGTGCTATTTCAACAGGCACAATGCCTTCAAAGAGATCGTGGGCAATGTCAGGAGGGTAGCCACTGATGACATTAAAATGAGAAAGCGCTTTAGTCAAAGGACAAGCTCTTTTAACTCCAAAATAGCTACTGCCACTATCTAGGGCTGCTCTGACATGAGTGTCATGTATTTCTTTTGTTCTGAGGCTGAAAGTTCCTGCTCTAACCTCATTCGATGCAATGTCTGAAGCTGTTGCAGTACAAAAACGACAAAAATAGGTGCCTGAAAAATTCTCAACAAAGCCCGCTAATCCATGAGCTCCTAAATTGTCTGCAGCAATAGTCTGAACTGTACCTTTCAGCGATGTTCCAAGTTGTGGGACAAAAATTCCATCAACTTCCAAAGACCTGAGATCACGTAGAAGTGGCTCTAAAACCTTGTCATAGCCATAGGTCTTAACATTGTCTGTTTTGCACAAAATGGCTAAGTAAATGGAGGACAAAGAGGAATGAGACCCTGGGGGTAGGTTACTCAGCACCCAGTACACAGCACAAAGTTTGTGGGTTTTACGGGAGGTGCCAAGAGGGTTGCAGACCTCAAAGTCATCAACATACAAACCAATAGATACCCTTAACTCTTGACCTGACAATAAACTGTTTTGCTTACAATGTAGACCATCGCTGAAACACTTGTACACAATTTCTTTAGCTGTCTCTGTTTCCCTTTGCGTTTCGTGACTACAAACTAACTTGTCCACAATATCTTTCCTATTCAACAGCACCTGTAGAGATTCAAGAATGGGGACATACTGGAAGGTTTTGTTGTCTTTAGCATCCAAAATACATTCAACTGGTTCAACAATGTTAAAGTTTGCCTTGTAATACTGCTTACGTTGATATGTAGAACTCAAAGGACCACCCTTCTCTATGGCTTTATTTATAGGATTCCCAGTGCACAGAGAGGTGGTTATTTCCTCTATGATAGCTCTGTCAACCTGGAGCTTGTGCTTCTGAAAAATATCAACTAGAACGCCATCAGTGTGGGAACGAGAGAGAGAGCTAGTTAAGTGGTGAAGCTCTAGCAAAAAATCATTGATTGCTGTGCTTGGTACATGGGTTAAATGTTCTAACTTTAGCAAAGCCGCAGCAAAAGTTTGTTCAATCACATTTGGGAGATCATTAGGGGCATAAACACTGCAATCTGGTTGTGCATCAGAGTATGCCTCACCTATTTCATCATCTGAAGTATTTAGCGCAGATTCCAGAGAAACAAAGGTGGTTGATGTCACAATTTCTGGTTTAAAATCTGTAACTGAATAAGAACTATGTTTTCTGCTCCTGTGGGATTTAAATGTTCCGTAGATATTTGTTTGAAAGTTGCAATCTAAAAACATGCAAGTTACAACCTCATTTTTCTTAAGGTGTGCATTAATGTGAGCCCAGTAATACCTTTCCGAGACAAGATCCTTACAATTACATAACTGGCACCTAAATATACAGCTCTTGGATTGATAACTGGTTTTAGTCACATGAAATCTATTCAAATGAATTAAAAGTGCATTCCACGTTCTAAAAGTGCAGGGGCAGCTTACATATACACAAGGAAAACGATTATTATTCCCATAATATCTATGTTTCACTCGATAATGTTTTAATATTTGGGACCTACTTGGTAAAACTGAGGGGCAGGCCTTACAACGCCACATTCACAGCAACATTCTGGAGAACTTGCAGCACCATTCACTGCAAAAGAGAAATGAAAACAAAGAAGGATTAATGTCAAATGAGAAAATGCTGACAAAAATGCAAGACAAGCTGTCAAAATGAAATATGAAACATCAATCAATAATAACATGGGGAAGGTCTAAGTAACAGTAGTGACACAACTGTTTTAAAAGCATTTAGTGTGACACATCACACAATGGCCAATCACATAACCGAGTGGAAGGGGGTTAAACCAAAATACAATTGTATTCTCACCACATAAATTTGAGCCCACAGTAAAAGTGCAGACTCCAGACAGGCAGAGTTCGCGTTTCAATCTGCAGCAACAAAGAGCAACACAAAAAACACTTATACAATGCAAAACTGTATTTCTATAAACACAAATTATAAATACTCTACAGGTCAACAGATTATGTTTTTTTGAGGGATGATGGCAATCTTTTTTATAGCAGAGCAACAAATAGCCAATATACATTTCTGCATCTGAAAATGTAAATGACACCATTTATTTCTTCAATGTACATATATATTTAGGGCTGGGTACCTACCGAAATAACCTGGTACCAAGTAGTATCGACTTCTCAAGTCAAAGGATACCTATCCTTATCATAATAATCACTGCTACATGGGGCACTGGCAAAGTCCGATGATGTCAGTCTGCATTACAATTAGCCATGTGCTGCATAATAATTAGCCATGTGCTTCTGGTAACTAGAGCATATAGCCTATCTGTATCACCTAGATTCTAGAATGACGCACACACATATATACATGCCCTAAAGCTAACGCACAGGACTGCTAACCATGCTAAGCCGTTAGCCCCTAAGTAGCCGTTAGCCCCGTTAGCACGTTTCGCTAAGTGGTGATTTAGAGCTTGGTGTTGGAATTCTGTTTCGGTTAGGTAAAAATTGTTAATATTGTGAGTTAGCC